TTTCTCTCTGCAAAGATTTTTGTTCTAATATATGTTTGTGTATAGCACGGGGAACAATATATAAAGATTTGTAACTAGGTGTGTTTCTAGCTCTAAATGGCTAGACTTCATCATAGTTAAGATATTTTCTTATGCCTGTTATAATTTAGTATCTGGAGGTATATGTTTAAATATCTGAGTACTGGTAGGATTCACAAAAAACGTGTCATGGCAGGAACACAAAAGTGAAAACAAACAAAATTAATTCAAATTGGTACTGGTCTTTAGTTTAGTGCAGATTCAGGGTTCACCATGTATATTTTCTCATATTGATTGTAATTGCTCAGGCTCCTGTCAGTAATGATGAATGTGGGGGGGGGTCTCATTTCACCTAGAACTCATCTTGCCCAGGATTGCTCTCACCCTACTGACTCAGGCACTGATTGATTCTTGTGATCTTTGTGTGCCCAGATATGAGGTCACGTGTGACCTGCTTTTGTAGGAGAAGAGGCTGTGCTTCTAGAGAACGCCATATTGGGTACTGCAGGTTCGGAAACACCATCTACCGACTCTGCTGCCGCCGATGATTACTAAGAACAAGAGGGATAGGTTTGCATTAGGAGTTGAGAGTATGAAGAAGAATACTATTAGTCCTGCACTGTGTCATTGAGTTTCTTCCTCTTTTGTATCTAAATAAAGTCCTTGCAGCAAGTTCTCTGTGTGTGCTTGCGTTTCTCTCTTGTCTCCAAGCAAGACTCTGAGAATCAGTGTCAGATTGCTATAAAGAAATCCCTGGCTCCGGGTTGAAGGAATATCAGGGCTATCACCCAGTCTTCTGGTGAATAATAAGAATGGTCAATTCTATTGTAGTCATTCTAATCTCTCATCTCCTAACTCAGCATCCTTTACAGTAGAAGCACTCTCAAAGTCATTGTCAATGGGAGATGTAGAAAACATCGCGGTTATCTTCAAGTGTCTGTAGTTGTAATAACCTAAATACTAAAAGAAGCCAAGATTCACATTCTTGAAGTTAGGATTTCCCTGAATAGGCCAAGATCATATATCTGTCTATAAAACCCTAGATTTGTATCACCTACACAGACACAACTTTAAGTAGTATTAAGAACGGTTAGCACATGCTGCAATCCAGAGCCTTATAGAGGCTAGGTAACAAGGAGGACCCAAGGGGAGACACATGGTTTGTCCTGGGAAGAGGAAATAGAAGAGACCTCCTAAGATAACTGGGGGCTGGTAGGGATGGGTACATTGGGGATCAGGGTAGGTTAGAAGGAGAAATGAAAGAGGTAGTTTGATATGCAAGGGGTTATTTGGGGGCCAGGTAGAAATCTGGTGCATGGAAAGGACCACAAATCTACAAATGTGGCCCCAGCTAAGACTCCTAGCAATAGTGGCTAGGTAGTCTGAACTGGCCATCTCTTGTAATCAGATTGGTGAGTATCCTAATTGTCATAAGAGGGCCCTTGTCCAGTAACTGATAGAAGCAGATGCAGAGATTCACAGACAAGATCTTGGCCAAGCTCCAGAAATCCTGTTGAAGAGAAGGAGGAAAGATTGTATGAACCTGAGGTGTCAAGGTTATTACAAGGGAAGCAACATAGACAACTAACCTGGGCTCAAGATCTCACAGTTAAGGGACCCACATGGGAATGATCTAGGATTTTTACATAAGTAGAGCTGAAGTCTGGTCTATTTATGGGACTCCTAGTAGTGGAAGCAGGTCCTGTCCCTGATAATTTGTCAGGGTTTTTGGATATCTAGTCTTCATACTGATTGCCTTACCAAGGCATAATAAGAGGGGTGAAGCTTCTTACCTCAACTTGATATGACAAGTTGTTGGACATCCACAGGAGGCCTGCCCTTTCTGAACAGAAACAGTGAAGGAGTGGATTGGGGAGAGGCAGAGAGGAGGAGGGAAGGGAATGAGAGGAGAGGAGGTAGGAGAAACTGCAGCCAGGATAGAAAACAAATGAATAAAGTTAATTAATCAAAATTTGTGTTGGCTGAGGATAGAAAGAAGGTTGTGCCATAAAAGGCCAGAGAAGAAGCAGGGTTCATGCACAAAGTTGTCCTTGGTGTCATGAAAGCAACTTTGCAGTCTCTGACTCATCGGTGCCATCTCAAATCCTGTTCCCTGTGCACTTGCTGGGCAAATACACATGATGTTTATGTCAGCACGACAACATTCATGAAACACTGCTTGGAAATCAATGCCAGAGAAAATTATAAGCTTTCAAAAATTTTTAAAAACTAGGAATCAATGCTAATTTGTTAAATTTATGAAGAGCTTAACACTACATATTAATTGAAATGGAAAACGAACAATAACAAGAGTATACAAGGAACTAGAGATTATTCTTTCTATGAAAAAGGAGTACTATTCATACAAAATGCAAATAGAATTTCAATGGTATATCAAACTTTGCCTCTCACCTTAGAAAATTTGTTTTTAAAATTGTCTAGCTGGTTGGTGGCGGTACGTACCTTAAATCCCAGCATTTGGGAGTCAGAGATAGATGGATCTTAGTGAGTTTGTGGCCAACCTGGTCTACAAAGTGAGCTCCAAGACTAATAGGACTACACAGAAAACCTATGTTTCAAAACAACAAATACATATACTTAACATATATTGTTTATATGAAGCCCCAAAGACTGGAGGAATCCAATGAATCTCATCAAATCCCTGTGTGCAAGGCAGGCTGTGGATGAACCTGTGGTCTTGAGGACACAGAAACTCGACCTTAATCTAATCCTTCATGCACATCAAGACACTGCCTCTTCTCTGGTGAAGAGTCCTGGCATAGGGCTTCTGACCCCACAATACAGGAAAGAATACAGAAGAAAGTGCAAAGTAATAGCAAAATGAAGACATGGTAAGCCAAATGTATTTGATTTTTGAAAGAGTATCCTGAGATGTAACTTAGTATTTAACCTCCTGTTCACCCTTGAAGTGACTACTATACTGTAACCAAGACTTCATGTATAGGGATTCATTGAAGAGTCTGCTGCACAGCTCAGGAGAGTCCTGAATAAGTCACATAGACAGCATCAAAGAAACATAAAAATGATTCTTTTTCTGTAAGGAAATTTACTGAAGAAGGAAAACACTTGAGGCTAAGTACAAGGGTAATGACAGATCATGAGGTCTCAGAGCATACGGTGATTTTGTTTCTGGTCTCAGTGGCAGCAGAGTGTGGAGTGTAACTGGATCTATGTAGCAAACCGCAGAGACCTGTTCAGAACATTTGCAAGATTTTTTTCTACAGTTGCATTTCAGGCTGGGTGCAGCTGTGGAAACAGAACACCAGGCATTAAGTAAGGTAGCCAGCAGTATGCAATAGTGTACAACACTATGAAGAGACATGACACATGGTTTAGAGGTTTGTTTGTATTGATGACATCATACCCAGCACTATGATCAAATACAAACACTGGGAAATAATACATTTAACAAGAGTTGATCACATAACCAACTTGATAGGCATTTTGGTTCCTTCACCTTTTTGTGTCGTCCTGACTTAATACAGTCATACACTGGCATTTGGTTCCTAAATCTTCTTTAAATAAAGAAGATTTATTTCCATAACAAAATCATCAGCTGGATAGACAAAAGGCTAATCAGTATGTTCTATATTTTGAAATTATTCCACAGGTAAATGTTTAGATAAAAAACTTAAAGATAATCAGTTACACTTTTTTGACTCTCTGTTACTTCTATGAATAAGAAAGTGAAGCTTGTGCAGGATCAACAGAGCTTCTTCCTGAATCACACAGCTCTGCACAGAATTCCAGGGCACCTGCTATCAACCCTCTCTCAGGAGACTCCATCTCGCTATCATACAGGGAATCACCACTCACCTTGAGCTTGAAGAACAGAGCCTTCTGGGCCTCCACAGGAGATGGACACATCCTGGTCCTCTACTCCTGGCTGCTCCTCATTTTTAGCCTCCTCAGTTGCTTCTGGCAGAGGATCTACCAAGGCCTGAAAGGCCAGCAGGACAAGGGCAGAGAGGAGGACATGTGTCTTCATGGCTGAGAGTCACCTGGACAGAAGGGTGAACAGGAGCCAAGTGTGTGGGGAGTGAGGAGGCAGACTCCATTCATAGGGCTGTCAGGAGAAGGTGCAGACACAGGCTCTGTACGGAGAGAGAGTACACACTGATGGGAACTGGGAGAGACTGCTGTCCTCGAGAGCCCTTTGATGTTCCTGAGTTCTCACAGCCTCTGCCATGATGCTGGTGTCTGTGTTCAGTGACGTCACTTCCTTCCTGCTGAGAATGATGAAGGGGCATTGCTATCTTCTCCTCTTTCAGATTTGCTTGATCATTTACCTTTCTGTGCTCAGGAAAAAAAGAGGTAGGTATTTTCCAAGTTGGTAAGCTCATGAAATGAGGAGTAGTTTTGTTCTGAATTTGGAGGTTGAAGTTCTCAGAGAGTGTGGACCCTGGGACAGACCTGAATATCTGTGGATTGGATAGTGAGTTCTTTGAGTCATTCTGGAGTATTTTCATCCTCATGAAGGAAGTCTTTGTGAATCCCTTTCTTTGGGCCATTATTGAGAAAGTAAGATGGCCCTCGTGAATCTTGGTCAAGAGCCGAGGGACAGAGTGGGTCAGACTGAAGTTAGAGCAGGTTGTTCTGGAGGAGCCAGTGTTACCTGAACATATCTCATGAGTGCATTCCTGGTGCCTCTTCAT